AGTCATCTGGCAGTGTGATTGTACTGAGAGATTTGGTAATCTTACGTCCATTTCGACAATGAATTACAGATAAAAGCAAATCAAATTAGGGAAACTCGATGAACTACACAAATTGAGTAAATAGTGCATCAGCGATTGCATTAACTCTTTGATCAGCTATGTTGTTGTATCCAGGATTAAGAGTGTTGGTGGTCTGATCATGTTCCGGTGCACTGTCGATTACTTGGACTGCTTTATGTGATGCTCTATTACTTGATACTGGAAGACTGGCAGGGGTTTCAGCGATTGCTTGATCTCCTGGATCAGCTGTGTGATTATATCGAAGATTAAGAGTGGTGTGTTTCAGTGCCTCTTCATCAGCTGTGTTGTTATGTGTAAGATCAAGGGTGGTGAGAGTCCGATTGTATTTCAGTGCATCAGCGATTGCTTGAGCTGCTTTAAATTGGGCCAAGTGTGAGTCAAAACGAAGAGTGGTTAGCGTCTGATTGTGTTTAAATGCATCTGCGATTGCTTGAGCTCCTTGATCAAATATTGCGTTATATGCAACATCAAGGGTGGTGAGAGTTTGATTGTGCTTTAGTGCATCAGCAATTGCTTGAGCTCCTTCATCAGTTATTTGGTTAAATCGAAGAAAAAGATGGGTTAAAGTCTGATTGTGTTTTAGTACATCCGCAATTGCTTCAGCTCCTTCGTCACCTATCTCGTTATCGTAAAGATTAAGAGTGGCAAGTGTGTGTCTACATCAACTTAGCGTATCTTTAACAATATATTTTGTTGCATCGACTAATCATTCAATTAGATATTATCCTTATTTTATCCTTTATTACTAGCTTTACACCCAATTTTTATTTTTTTGTACCACGAAATGCTCAAAATTGTTTTATCAATAGCTCGGTTAGGAATAAATAATTACCCACGAAACTTTCAGGCTTTTTTCAATTGGAATGATGAAAAACTGGTGAGACGATCAGCCTTGTGAAGATAGCTTCATGGGGGTGTTTTTCGAAAATCGCTATCAACTGTAAACTTTGTTCCGGGTCTAAGTAAGACTTCTTCCTCCTGTGGAAAATCAGAGTTTGTTGATACATCCAGGCCTCCGTAGCTTGACAGTTGAATAATAAATAATGTATTTCCGAAGTATTCAGCTAATGTTCTATTTTTGCTTGTTGAAGAAAACCCAAACCAGTACTTCTCCTCACCAATTGCTGTTTTATAAGCTTCGATGTCTTGTGGATCAAGGTTAGTGCCTCGATAAATGCATTGTTCGTATTCTCTGTCACCATGATACCAGGAATAGTATAAAAAGCAGGAAAATGGGCCGAGTGTATTTACTTTGGTCTTATCGTTTTCTCTTAATGTTTTATTGAGTAATTTGTAAAGAAAGCACTCTGCTGTGTACAGCTT